GTTCAACGCGATTGGGGTGCAGGTTGGTTTTATACATTTTAGGAAGATATAAGACATCAGTCAAATACATTTAAGACATACATTGGTTTGGTCCAGAAAGGCAGGACAACTTGAAGCAGCAGGCCAGGTGGCAGGGGATGGTGTTTATAGGTTATAAGTCGATTTTAAAATGATGATTGGTTAAAAAAAAAAAATTAGTTAAGTTGTTACCAATAGAAAGGAATGTCCAAGAGAGGTTGTGGAGACCGAAGTTTTATCATCAAGATGAAGCCTCCAGGTGGCAAGCTTCAGAGAGAATAAATTTTAAATGTTTCTTGTCAGACTTGAGTTCTATGTTGATGTTTTTTGTTGTTGTTGTTTTAAAAAAAATTTTTTTTTCTTTTTGGAGATGGGGTTTCACCATGTTGACCAGTCTGGTCTTGAAATCCTGACCTCAGGTGATCCACCCGCCTCGGCCTCCCAAAGTGCTGGGATTACAGACGTGAGCCACCGCACCCGGCCAAGTTCTGTGTTGATGTTAAATGCTGGTCAGCTTTTCCTGAATTCCAAAAGGGAAGAGGCATAATGAGGCACGTCTGATCTCCCCCTTGGCCTGAGCAGGACTTTCAGGTTAACTTTTGAGTGCTCTGGCTGAGGAGAGAGTCCATTAAGATGGTTGGGAGCGGGGGTTTTGAAGTTTATTTTTGGTTTACAACATGTAAAGTCTAGGGAGAAGACAGAAACCACCTCCCTCCCTGGAAGAGGACAATACTCCAGTCACCCCTGAGGTTGATCATGGACATGAGTTTTAGCCTCCACCAGTCAGGCGACCACCTGCCAGACTCTGAGCCAGAATGAGGTGACACAGAGCGGCTGGGACTATGCAGAACACATTTTGGTAAAGATGACTGAGTGGCAGTAGTTATGTCAAGCTGCCAGGCACAGCAGTGACATCTGTCCCAGCCACTGGGTCCAGGTCCAGCACCAGGGTGTCAGAGGTGTGAGCAGCAGTGTCTGTGCTCAGCAGCAGGGGCAGTTGTTCCTAGGAGGGACTTGACCTAGGGTGGGCTATGGATTCTGTTCCTGGCTATGCAGTTTCAAGCCTGGCTCTGCGGCCTTCCCCATAATAAAATTAGTCCAAAATTCCCTATATACTGCTTTTTGTGTGAATTAGAAAAATTTGGTTTCCATAGTTTGCCACAACAAGTGAGTGAGAGGCCAGGCACAGTGGCTCACATCTGTAATCCCAGCACTTTGGGAGGCTGAGGCGGGCGGATCATGAGGTTAAGAGATCGAGACCATCTTGTCCAACATGGTGAAACCCTGTCTCTACTAAAAATACAAAAATTAACTGGGCGTGGGTGGCCCTCACCTGTAATCCCAGCTACTTGGGAGGCTGAGGCAGGAGAATCGCTTGAACCCAGGAGGCGGAGGTTGCAGTGAGCCAAGATCGTACCACTGCACTCCAGCCTGGGGACAGAGCGAGACTCTGTCGCAAAAAAAAATGTCAGTGAGAAATCAGTCTGTGGATGAGTGTCAGAGAGCAGCATTCAGAAGTTTCTTTGTGCAGAGCTGAGAGCCGCACCCTGAATTATCTACCTGGCATCCACCCTATGGTGGAGAGAACAATGGGGAACATCACATCTTATAATCTCAGTCCCACAGGACTGTACACAGGTCAGATGCAAGTCAAAAATTTCAGATCCCAGCTTATCTCTCTTTTCTTTCTGAGGAAAAAAAAATGCTGTTAAACAGGATTTGAAAACCCACCTCACCCACCCACGTTGGGCACTCTCTGATCACTGATCTCTGTGGTTCCTGATCTGTCCAAGCAACAGGATTGATGGTGGGGGCTCAAAAAATACTCAGACCTCTCCCCAAAACCTCTGGCTCAGAGTATTATGCACAAGACCATGAACTGCTTATATAACAAGCCCCACAGGCGAGGCTGATGCACAGACATGTGGAATTCTGGTGTTCTTTTTATTCCAATTGTGATCTGGAGACCAGCAGCAGGAGCTCCTTGTCGTAAATCCAGAATCTCTTGCTTGACTCCAGACTTCCTGGATCTCAGCATCACGTTCAGGTGATGCCTGTGCACATGGGAAGGTCTTTGTCTTCTGGGCGTGGGGTCAGAACTGTGCAGTCTGCTCTGAGTGTGGTCTGATCAGATCCCTTAGCACTGGAGGTCCAGGGCCCAGTCTTTTCTCTTGTTCTCTTTTATAGCCAGTCACTGCCTTGGTGCCCTCATCCATGCTTGAGGTTTTAAGTATCATTTATACGGTGTGACCGCCTAAGTCTATTTCTCCAGCCCAGTCCTTTCCTCTAAAACCTGGACTTGACCATCCAATTGCCACCCCAGCTACTTCACCTGCATTCCTAATAGACGTCTCCACTGAGTGCCTGGGATGCCCCCTCTTAAAATAAGTTCCTGCCAGAGTCCCCCCATCTCCACTCACAGCAGCTCCACCCTTCCTTCTACTCACTCATTTTACAACTATGGGTGTCCTTGATTCTCTCTTCTCACACCACAGATACAATCCATTGGCAAATGCTGTGAGTCCATCTTAAAATGCATCCAGAATCCCCTCATGTCCCACTATTTCCCCTGCTCACTCCAGGTAACTGGTGTTTCCAGCCTGGAATACCGCACTCGTTTCCTACTGCTTTCCCTTCTGCCTCCCTCGCCCTCACCTCTCAATTCCGTTTTCAGCACAGTGATCAGAGAGAGCCTTTTAAAAAAGAAGTCATACCCACCATGTTCTCTTCTCCTCAAAATTGTCCTCCAACTCCCTCCTCACTCAGAGCAAAGGTCAGATCTTTCTCCACTCCCTACAGGCCCAGAGGTGTGTGGCTGCACCTCTGACCTCACCTCAGTTTCTCTCTGTCCAGCCTTCCTGGCCTCCTTGCTCTTCTGGGAACAGACACCTTCCTGCCCTCGTGCCTTTGCTGTGGAGGTTCCCCCTGCTTGTAAAGAACTTCCCCAGACATCCTAGTGGACACTCACATGTCCCTCAACTCTTTCCTCAAAGGTCACCTTTGCAACGTGGTGCACACTGACCACCCAGCACAACAGCCACCTTCCCTGTCCCCACTGCCCACACCGTGGATCACCTGCCTCACTGCACTTACCACCTTCTAGCACTTTCCTTTCTTATTCTGCTTATAGTGTTATCTATCATCTGCCTCTTCCCACTGGAACACACGCTCCACAAGGTCAGAGATTTTTCTGATTTTACTTCAGTGATGTTCCCCAGATGCAGAACCACTCTGTCCTATGTCTGGGCTGACAACAAAGGTCAGTTGAATGAATGGTCACTGCAGAGCACCTCCTATTCTAGATAGTATCCTTGTTAACACAGACTCAGGCCAAATGCTGTTTTGCGGCAGCTACAGTGCAAGGTCCCCTCACAGTGACATCCAGGCCGCCTGTGCTGTTCTCAGCAGGGCTGCTTGTGGTGTCCCACCTCCAACCCTCCTCGCACACCAACCCCCACGCACACTGCAGAACACAACCAGGTTTCTCTCTTCAGGAAAGAACAATTCTAGACTATGGGCCCAATTTCACAAACAAATTTAAGTCTAAATTAGCCTCTGCTTTAGATTCATGAGTTGGGATTGGAGCCAGCACCAAGATCACTAGAACCAGGGCAGGGAGAGAGGGCAGGAGAGCAGAGCAGAAGAGGGGCCCTAGAAGGAGGCCAGGAGCTGAATGGGTCCGAAAATTTATCTCAGAAACACAGAGACTCCCGTGTGCAGGGGCTGCCCTGGGCAATGTGTGAGCTTCTGTGGTCACAGCTCCCATGGGACAAGTTTCCACTGAAGGGACAAGGACAATGGAGCAGTGAAGCTGACACAGCTAAGGACTGACCACATAAAGCCCACCATGGACTCAGCTGCAGCTGGGCACAGGCCCCGCCCACACTCGGCTCCTCACAGCCTTCTCCATCCCCACCTGCAACAGACTCAGCACAGCGAACATGCGGATTCTGGAAGGTTCTCAGGCTTTTCATTTATTTCCTCTCTCAAATTTTAGGAATCCTCTCCTTTAATTAACCCATCAACCTCTCATGGCAAGAATCAGAAAAGAAATTTATATGCAGATTCTTATTTTCAGTAGGGAAGTGAGAGGTTGCAGCTCAGTTCACCACAAAGTTGAGACAGAGACGGAGACACCCAGCCCCAGGTCTCTGGAACAGGAAAGATGACTGGGGAGGGAACACAGGTCATCGTGGGGACAGGGGTCACGGTGGACACGGGGCGGGCTCTCTCTCCACCTCCTCACATTATGCTAACAGGGACGCAGACACATTCAGATGCCTTTGCAGAAAGAGATGCCAGAGGCTCTTGAAGCCACAAAGGGGAGGCTTAAAGAAATCCAACATCTCAGTCCCACACAAGGCAGCTGTCTCAGGCTACTCAGGCTACAGAAGAAAATAGTCAAATACAAGTCAGTCCTGGTAAGTGATGACACCCTGAATAGCCCACCACCCACCCAAAATGTCCCAAAGAATCCCTATAACCCAATCCTGTCTCCTCTGCCCCACCCCCCACCCACTTCAGACCTCCCAGGGCCTCACCTTTACAAGCTGTGAGAGACATATCAGAGTCCTGGGCACTGTCACTGCCTGGGGTCGAACAAAAACAGGACCTGGTCAGAGCCTGCAGGAGATGTGGCTAGAGGAGGAATTGTGGGGTGAACGAGCTCCTCCACACTCCCTGCCACTTACATGCAGCCTGAGAGTAGCTCCCTCCTTTTCCACCTATGGGAAGAAAATGTCCTGTGAAGGGCTAGGGAGGAGGTAGAACCATGAGGTCTTAGAGGAACCTCCTAGTCTTGGACTCAAGAAAAGTTTCCAGAACTATGACTATGGACCCAGGGCAGGATCAGGAAACATGAGGAAAGCAGGTGTGGGTCCTGGACCAATTGCCCTCCTGAGATCTGTCCTCAGCAGAGACTTTCCTCTGTGACCTGTAACTACTGGGATCAGGACCCATCACCACAATCATCAAGGTGATACATCTGTCCTTCACTGTCACATGTGTTTCACAAAAGAATAAGTGCTGGCACACAGGGCCCCAGGCTGGGTCAGCCGTGTGTGGATGGTGCTTCCCAGCAACAAGGCAGGACACACTTCTATCTGAGGCTTGAAACCCCCAGTGGGACAAGAAAACCCAGACCCCACCCCTTCCCTACCTGAGCTCTTCCTCCACATCACAGCAGTGACCACAGCTACAGTGACCACAGCTCCCAGGACGGCCAGTCCAGTGATGATGCCCATGATGGGGATGGTGGGCTGGGAAAACGGCTCTGGGAAAAGAGGGGAGGGTCAGGGGCCCTGAACTCCAGGCCTCAGCCCTGACCCTGCTGAAGGGCTCCAGAAAGGCTCCTGCTTTCCCTGAGAAGAGATATGATGCCCCCATTCTCCTCCTTACTCCATCTCAGGGTGAGGGGCTCAGGTAGTTCCTCATGCTGCACATGGCACGTGTATCTCTGCTCCTCTCCAGAAGGCACCACCACAGCCACCCACTTCTGGAAGGTTCCATCCCCCACTGGCCTGGTATCCACAAGCTCCATGTCCTGGGTGTGGTCCTCCCCATCCCGCTGCCAGGTCAGTTTGATCTCCACAGGGTAGAAGCCCAGGGCCCAGCACCTCAGGGTGGCCTCATTGTCAGAGATAGGGTGCTGGGTCACATGTGCCTTTGGGGGATCTGAGGGGAAGAGTCAGAAAATTCAGGCACTAGCCGGGCGTGGTGGCTCACGCCTATAATCCCAGCACTTTGGGCAGCCAAGGTGGGCAGACCACGAGGTCAAGAGATCGAGACCATCCTAGCCAACATGGTGAAACCCCATGTCTACTAAAAATACAAAAATTAGCTGGCATGGTGGCACATGCCTGTAATCCCAGCTGCTTGGGAGGCTGAGGCAGGAGAATCACTTGAACACAGGAGGCAGAGGTTGCAGTGAGCCCAGATCCCACCACTGCACTCCAGCCTGGTAACAGAGTGAGACTCCGTCAAAAAGAAAAGAAAAGAAGAGAAAGAAAAGAAAAGAAAGAAAAAGAAAATTCAGGCACTTTGCATCTCTCATGGGACACCCCAGCAGCACCCATGTGACCATCTTGAGAATGAACAGGACACCTGGGCTGGGAAAGGGAGCACAGAACCCAGACACCAGCATGGACACAGGCACCTGCGGTAATGTCCTGTTCCTTGGAAAGTTCGAGTCTCTGAGTGGAGGAGCAGGGACTTCTGGTCCTGACCTGAGTCGAGGCTGAGGGACTCAGAAGAGCTGGAATCAGAGTCACAAACACACTGATTGTGAGAGAGAGAACAAGGCCCAGAGGAAAAGTCCTGGTGCCCAAGGCTGCTGCAGGGGTCAAAGGGGACCGCTGATCAGTATTCCTGGGATTGTCTTCCCCTCCACTCCCTCAGAGACTTCATCCCTTAATTGTCCCAGAGAGCAGGGCGGGCCCTCAGAGTCAGTCTCTGGTACAGGCTCTAGAAACCCAGAATTCTTCCCATTCAGGACCAGAGGGAGGACGATATTCTAGTGTTGGTCCCATTTTCCTACTCTCCTGGCGTGAGCCCCGCCCAGGAGGTGTACAGGAGGTGAGGGAGGCGCTCCTGGTACCCGCGTGACGCAGCGTCTCCTTCCGGTTCTCCAGTTGTCTGCGGAGCCACTCCACGCACGTGCCCCCCAGGTAGGTCCTGACCTGCTCTGAGTATTTGTTCGCCTCCCACTTGCGCTGGGTGATCTGAGCCGCAGTGGCTGCGGCGGTCCAGGAGCGCAGGTCCTCATTCAGGGCGATATAATCCTTGCCGTCATAGGCAAACTGTTCATACCCGCGGAGGAAGCGACCATCCGGCCCCAGGTCGCAGCTGTGTATCCACTGGAGGGTGTCAGACCCTGGCCCCGCCCCCGCGATCAGCCCCGCCCCCGCCCAACCCGCTGGGATTTTGGTCCAAACTGAAAATGAAACCCGGACCCTCCCGGGTCGAAGGTCTGGGGGGGGTGGTGTCCCGCAGCCTCGGGGTGGATCTCCGACCCGGAGACTCGGGGGCCACCCGGGCCGTCCGTGGGGCATGGGGAGGGGTCGTGACCTGCGCCCCGGGCCGGGGTCACTCACCGGCCTCGCTCTGGTTGTAGCAGCGGAGCAGGGTCCGCAGGTTCACTCGGTCAGTCTGTGCAGCGGCCTTGGCTGTCCGTGTCTCCCGGTCCCAATACTCCGGCCCCTCCTGCTCCATCCACGGCGCCCGCGGCTCCATCCTCGGAATCGCGGCGTCGCTGTCGAACCGCAAGAACTGCGTGTCGTCCACGTAGCCCACGGCGATGAAGCGGGGCTCCCCGCGGCCGGGCCGGGACACGGAGGCGACTAAATACCTCATGGAGTGGGAGCCTGGGGGCGAGGAGGGGCTGAGACCCGCCCGAACCTCCGCCCGGCGCCGCTCCTCGGGTCCTGTACCCCCAGCCCGGCGGGCCCCTAGCTCCTCCAGCGGAGGCCGTTTCCCTCCCGACCCCGAACTCACCCGCCCAGGTCTCGGTCAGGAACAGGGCCCCCGAGAGCAGCAGGAGGTGGGTTGGGGCGCCATGATCCCAGCCTCGGCGTCTGGGGAGAATGAGAGTCTGGTGGGTGACCGGGGGCTTCAGAACCGGGACCGCGGCGACGCTGATTGTCTTCTCTAGAAACCCGACACCCAATGGGAGTGAGAAGCGGGGCCGCGTCTTGAGTATCCTGGAAAAAGGACCCCCAGGTTGGGATAAGAAGTGAAACTCCGGGGAGTGGGGACTTCCCAACGCTGCGCCTCCCCAGTGCAGTCATAGCCCTCGGAGCCTGAGACCCTGAGAGTCAGGCCCCGGACCTCGGACTGTCCAGATCCCTCTTCTCCTACACCAAGCCTTTTTGTCACACTGTCTGCCAAGAGTCCTGGCCGAGGATCTGTTTGTGAAAACCAGGGAGAGACCCCCAGGCTGCGCCCAGCCCCTTCCTTTTCACCCTCATCCTGGAATCCTTCTCCCTGAACTAGACCTCCCACTCCTCACCTCTTCCCTTGGACTATTCCAGAAGAAAATTTACCCCAGGGAACTTGATGGGAGAGTGCGCTTGCCCGGAGAATGGAAGTGTAGAGAAAGGGGTTTTCTCTTTAAACCTGGTGAAGTTGTGACTGAAAGCACCAGATAGAGATTCTCCTAGAGACCAGGTTTTTTCATTTGTTTATTAATACAGTGGTTAGCACCATCTTGGTAACCCCTGAATGATCAGGATTCTAATCTGTAAAAGACCTGGTTTTGGCTGCTTCGTGTGTAAGCGTGTCCAAACAGCAAGGCAATTCGACTCACAAAGCTCCTAAGTTTTACTTTTCCAGACTATGGATCCGCGACTCTGGGTTGTTGCATTTAAAATTATCTTCATTCCATACCCTGAGTTTTCCTGTGTGAGTCCAGGACATCTCAATATAAAGATGTGGGATTTGTTACTGTATATTGTAACCAGGATCCTCAAAATTGCAATGAAGTAAACATGCCCGTCATCAATGCTTAAGCACTGCCTGTTTTAATGAATTATGCACATCTAAGCAGTGTGCTTATTTTATTTGGATACTTGGTATTTTTTTTACCCTTTTGTTTTTTATCATAAGGAGACCATTAGTTTTTAGGCAGTCCCACAAAATGTATTAAATACGAATGCAAAGAACCCCCTGCTAGGCCCTTCCACTGTTTTAGAATTTGCTCCTCTCCCCTTTTCCTCACCTCCTGCTTCTCCATCCCTTCTCTCTCTCTCTGCCCCTGTCATCCCTCACACCCTCCCCTCCACTTAGTCCCCACCACCCTGTCACTCCTGAATTGTGGCACTAACACCGTCCCTCACTTCCTGCCCATGTCTGTTCTCCCCACAGTTCCTAACAGTCCTGCTAATGTGACTCAGGCCGTGTCATTTCTTCACGTACAATGGCTGGATTCTGGTCTACCATTTTGCTATATGTTTTCAATTTGTCCCATATGTTTTTGTTTCTGTTCCTCCTTTGCTACTTTCTTATATGTCAAGTAAGCATTTTTTAGTTTATGGTTTTAATTCTCCTAGTGGCTTTTAGCTATATTTATTTACACTAATTTATTGTTGTGTGATATTGTGCTGGCCTGGAGCCAGAATCTGAGCAACACTATTTTTATAAAATGCAAAACTGTTTTTAAATAAGTTGCAATGGCTGCCCCATTCTCCTCACAATAACTACTGTTCTTGGCCGCTGTAAATAGAACTGCTAGTTTGTTCTGCAAAACTATGTAAAGCTGCTTACCTTTTCTTATCAGTAACTGCTAAAATCTGTGACTTCTATCACCACCCAGACAATGTGTAAACAAATGTATATCTTGACTTCTGTAAACCACTGAAGTAACAAACAGAGTGACAAAAGTCCCCTAGACCTTGAAATGTCCGGAGACCCCCGCCCTTGTCTCCGCCGAGGAGGTGAATCACAGAATCCCCTAGCCCTTGGAATGTCCGAAACGTTTTCATCCCCATCCCCGCTCTTCACCCCCACTCCCAAGGTGGTTTTTCAGGTATAAAAAGTCTTGGCACCCTCCTTTTGATGCCACAGGTTGGAGAGACGTGAGTCCTCTGTGGTCGCCGGCATAATAAATGACCCTGCAATCTGGCATACTTTTGTCTTGGTGCTAACTTTCTACGCTGGGTCCAATACAACAGTTGTAAGAATTGAAGTCTGATTTCTTGACTTTTCACAGTGAAGTTTAGGTTATGTTAAGCTCCATCCAGCAAATTAAAGGACACATGTAACAACAATGTAGTTTCATTTAACCTACCATTATGCTATTATTGTTGTATATATTATATCAATATACTTATAAACTCAATAATGCAGTAATACTTTTTGTTTTAAGCCTCATATTGTCATTAAGAAAATGAGTGTGTGTGTGATGTGTGTGTGCATCGTTTCTGTTGTTAGTTGTCCCTTTCTGTGTATCTGGGTCACCATCTCGAATCACTTCCCTTCAGCCTGAAGAGCTTCCTTTAAAATTATATGTAGTACAAGACCCCTATGAAATGAATTTTCTGATTTTGATGATGTAAAAGTGTCTTCATTTTTGCCTTCTTCCCTCACCCTTTTTCTTTTTCTTATTGGGGCATTTGTGTATAATAAAATTCACCAGTTTTAGCTGCATTTTTGATGAATATCGATAATCATTTATAGTCATATAACTACCACACTGCCTAAAGAACAGTTTCTTTTCCCTAAAAACTTTCTTCACACCCCTTTCAACTTAATCCTTGCCTCCCACCCTGACCCCCTTCCCTTCACTCAACCACTGCTCTGCTTCTGTTACTGTAAGAATAAAATTTCTAGAATTTCTTGGACATGCAATCATATGTTATGTGGTCCTTTGTTTGCTCTCACTTAGCATAACAATGTTTGAGATTATTCCATGTGGTTAAGAGTAATAACATTTCATTCATTTTTGTTGTTGAGTAGCTACTGAGTATTATTGGAATTCCAGTTTATTCACTGGTTTCTTTATTCTCCAGCTGATAGACATGTGAGTTATGTCCAGTTAGGGTCTGTTATTAATGAAGCCACTACACGTCTTTGCATGGCCTTACATTTTCATTTCCTTTGGACAAATAAATATTTGTGGTTTGTTGGGTCATGGTAAGTGGATGGGTAGCTGTTTAAGAAATTGTGATAGTATTTTATAAATTGACTGCAACTTTTTTTGCATTCCTATCAACAATATTAAGAAATTTTAATTTTTTCCATATTCTTACCGGTATTCAGACTTACCATATGTCTTTTTAACTTTACCTATTCTAGGTGATGTGTGATAGTTTCTCACTGTGGTTTTAACTTGCACTTCTTTGATAACTAGTATCATTGCTATCTTGTCATGTTTGTCTAAGAGACTTATTACATATCTTTTGTGGTGAGGTGGGCAGATCACTTGAGGTTAGGAGTTCAAAACTAACCTGGCCAACATGGCGAAACCCCGTATCTACTAAAAAAAAAAAAAAGAAAGAAAGAAAAACTATGTATCTTTTGTGAATAATTTTGCAAATTTAATCATTAATTCCAGAAACTTTTACAGAATTCTTTATGATATTCTACATATGCAACTAAGCTGAGAAAGAAAAATTTTATTTCTTCCTATTTTTTTTTCTTTTTGAAGTTATTGATATTTAGTAAAGACAGGGGTTCACTATGTTGCTTAGGCTAGTCTCGAACTCCTGAACTGAAGTGATTGTCCCACTTTGGCCTCCCAAAGTACTGGGATTACAGGCATGAGGCACCATACCTGGTCCTTTTATTGGTCTTTTATTTCATTTTCTTGCAACATTGCAGTGGTCAGGATGCTCATAAGGTGTTTAAACAAAAATGAGGAGAGCCGTATATTTGCTTTGTTGCTGATCTTAGGAAGGAAGCATCTGGCCTTTCATAATTGAAGATGACGGTAGCTGTAAACATTTTGTACATGTTCTTAACCACATCGAAGATATTCCTTTCGATTTTTAGTTTACTGAGATATTTTGTCATGAAGTGGTCTTTATTTTTGCAAGTGCTTTTTCTGCATCTATTACAATAATTGTATAACATTTGTTTTTTGTTTTATTAATTGGGTGAATTGTGTTGTTTAATTTTCAGGTGTTAAACCAACCTTACTTTCCCATGAAAAAGACCAATGTGACATGGCATATTATTCATTTTATGTATATCTTAATTGGATAAGGTTTTGTATAGAATTGTGAGTCTGGCCGGGCATGGTGGCTCACGCCTGTAATCCAAGCACTTTGAAGGCCATGGTGGGCGGATCACCTGAGGTTGGGAGTTCAAGACCAGCCTGATCAACATGGTGAAATCCTGTCTTTAAAAAAAAAAAAAAGAAAGAATTGTGAGTCTGTATTTAAGAGGAAAATTTGTTCTTGATTCTTTTTCTTGTGATGTTCTTGTCTGGGTTTTCTATCTGGATACTGCTGGTGATATGGTTTGGCTCTGTGTCCCCACCCAAATCTTATCTTGAATTACACTCTCATAATTCCCACGTGTTATGGGAGGGACCCAGTGGTAGATAGTTTGAATCATGGGGTCAGTTCTCCCAATACCGTTCTTGTGGTAGTGAATAAGTCTCATTTGATCTGATGGTTTTATCAGGGGTTTCTGCTTTTGCAGCTTCCTCATTTTCTCTTGTTGCTGCCATGTAAGACGTGCCTTTTGCCTCCCACCATGATTCTGAGGCCTTCCTAACCATGTGGAATTGTAAGTCCAATTAAACCTCTTTTTCTTCTCAGTCTTGGGTATGTCTTTATCAGCAGGGTGAAAATGGACTAATACAGTAAATTGGTACCAGTGAGAGGGGTGCTGCGGAAAAGATGCCTGAAAATGTGGAAGTGACTTTGAAGCTGGGTATCAAGCAGAGGTTGGAACAGCTTGAAGGGCTCAGAGCAAGACAGGAAAATGTGGGAAAGTTCGGAACTGTTAGGTTTCCATGTGCAAGCCTGGAGCCCGAAAGTCTGAAGTCCTACCTGCCCTGGCTAATATTCCTGTCCCCCCCCCCACATTCGCCATTGTCCCTAATTGCCCACATGAGCTTTCCGAACAAGCCCCTCACCCAACCCTGCCATCTTAACTGTTCTTATGATAATGTAAATACCTCTCACCCAACCCTGCCTTCTTAACTGTTATGATCATGTAAATACCTCTCACCTAACCCTGCCATTGTAACTGAACTTGTGGTC